GTTAAACAGCAAAACTTTTACGTTTTCATTCAAATTGTATTTTCAGACAGATTATAGGGAGTTTGATCCGGAGCTCATGGCACGATCGCACGCGCCAATCGCAATTTTACTGCAGCCCCCGTCGTCGGAACGGAACCAGCCTCGGTGTGCTACTCGTCAAAATAATTGCTCGCTGTACCGCGCATTTTATGCATGACAATTATTTGCCCCTCCCCGCTTTTAAAGAAGAAAAAATAAAAATACTTGTCCACGTCTCTTCCCATATCCGCCGCCGGCCGCCCACGGGCGGGCACGTCCCGGCACGGCGTGCCGTACCGCTGCGTTTTCCGACCACTTTTCGTCCTAATATTTCAGGCCTCATTTGCATAATGAGGTACTGATCGGTGTGCTGCCTGCCACACACGCGCAACCGCACACACACAAACACTCCCAGACACACACACACTGAATGAAGTCCGTCCCGCGGGAGACTTTAACGCGGGGTGACACCAAAGTTGATAGTGCTGATACGGTGGCTGTGACAACTTCGTGTGTGTGTGTGTGAACGCCTGTCTGTCTGTCTGTCCGTCTGTGTGAGTGTGTGAGTGGCGCCTGTTTAAACGGGAGCGGAGACACCTTGCCCATGACTGGGGCACTGAGCCACGATGCCTTTGGAACATGAATGGGCACCAGCAACTCCTCTTTCATGATGCGGCGTGGCGTGGTCTGAGAACAATACCCCGTGGGGGCCTCGTGGGAGGGGGGGGGGGGGGTCGCGGCTGCCGAACTGGCACACGGCAGCATCTCGGCCGCGGGTCGCTCTAGAAGGGCGTATCCGGCCGTCGGCGCGGTCCTGGTCGCGCGGTTGTCATGACGACGACAGTGCCGCGGATCCAGACATCGCGGAGTCTCGAGTTTTGAGGCGGGTTGGCAGTGCACCGCCACACGTCGGGTCCGCGATCGAGAGTCGTGACGCGAATACCCGTCCGGCTTATCCGCGGGGATCTTCGTCGGACGATCGGTCCATCATAACCGGGATCAACCGTGTGGGTCCGTCCTCGTGGCCGCGGGCGTTGAGGCGTCGCGTCCCGACCCCGGTGACAGACGATCAAAACCTTGCACCAGAGAAATTTTCGTTGAACATTGATTTTTTTTTTCAAATGAAATTAAAGGTTTTGGGTGGTACGTCACTGTTAGTCCAGTGGCTCAGCAAACGGCGCGTCCGCACAGTGGGCCAGAAGACCAGTGGAGGCGGCCAAAATTTCGGACGCGCTTTGCGTTTCAGAGTCGCTAAATGGGACTCGAACCGAACGTGTGACCCCACCGGACCCCACCAATGGATTGCTCTCCGAATGAGGGATCCAGCTGGGGTGACACGCTGGGTATTCGAGTCCTGTTTAGCGACTCTGGAGCTCTAAACGAGGTTGGAGTTTCAGCCGCCTTCACACTGGTCTTCTGGCCCACTGTGCGTCCGTGTACTCACAGCCCGAGAGTGTGTGAGTGTGCCCCAGTGTGACGCGGCGGGCGGCGCGCTTTGAATCGGCGACCAGGTTGATCATCGACTAGGAATGCATGCACACACACACACAGAAACAGACACACACACTCACACACACACTCACAGATTGGCGGCCGATAGCGGTCGATCGTTGTGCAAGTCTCATTACTGCCGCACGGCGGCGTGGCCTCACATCACGACGCCACTGCTTGCTTTGCCCATCTTTCGCTCGTTTTTTTGCCACTCGATTTTCAGCCAATATTTTTTTAAATTAGTTTTTGGGCCGGGCGTAGTCTACAGACGCCACGGTTCATAATGCAGTGAGTGTGACAGACATCAACGCGGCTCGCGCCCGTCGAGTGAGATGAGAGAGAGGGGGCGGGGGGATGAGGCCCGCTCTTGCTTTTCGTGGGCTATTAGTCTGGAGATGACGGACAGCAGGACAGCGCGCGAGGCAGTCCGTCGCCCCCGTCGTCGCTTTGCCCGGCCAGGTGACCCGAGCTCCCCCCCCCCTCTTTTTCCCCGCCTCAAGCGGCATAAACACAGCCTGTGCGTCCCTCGTAGTGGGCGACCGGGTGACGGATCGCGAGAGACGTAACGGAGCATCATAACGCACGCACACACGCACACACACGTGAACGTGCACGCACGCGACCAGCGCACAGAGCTGTCACAAACGTGTGGGTGCTTTGGCTGACTCAGGATCCCTCCGCTGGATGCATTATACGTGCGTACGCGTGTGTTAGACAGAGAGAGAGAGAGAGAGAGAGAGAGAGAGAGAGAGAGAGAGAGAGAGAGAGAAAAGAGAGACTCTGCGTGTGTGTGGCGGTGAGAGTGAGTTAGGCGCATGTCGCCAGCCCTCCCCGTGGTCGAGAGTATGAAATACGAGGGGCGACCTGGGCTTGAGATGTAGGTACACCGTACACCGCGCCGGTTTGGGACAGATGCAGACCGGGCGGGGCGGGCCCCAGAGTGGGCCAGAAGGCCGGTGGAGGCGGCCAAAACTCTAGACGCGTTTAGAGCTCCAGAGTCGCTAAACAGGACTCGAACCGAACGTGTGACCCCACCAATAGATTCCTCGTTCGGAGAGCAATCCATTGGTGGGGTCACACGTTCGGTTCGAGTCCCATTTAGCGACTCTGCAGCTCAAAACGCGTCTAGAGTTTTGGCCGCCTGCCACCGGCCCTCTGACCCACTGTGCGCCCCCCAGCGGCGGCGGCGGCCCCGCCCAGGGAGTACGATGACGCCGACCCTCCATGCCATGGCACGCCACGGCGGCCTGCAGACTGATTCGCGCTGTCTCTCTCGCACACATGGGGCGTCCCGTAACAGGTGCGAGAGAGACAGCGCGACGAGAACGACTCTCAGTGTGCTGTCTCACGGCAGACGCCCCATTGACTGACGGCTGTCTGGGGACTGGCGGCCCGGCGGCCCAGCGTCCCCGAGGGCAGCAGTGCTAGTGCACCAGGACTCAGCGAACGGCCCCCGAGGGAACACCGAAGGCCCCGAAGGCAACCCGATCGTTTCAATGATGATGGCGTCGATTATCAATGACAACGAAAGCGTTGTGGCTTCGTGACGGTGTGAGAGAAGTCCAGAGCGCCACTTTTTCGCCTTCAGTGGGGAAAGACAATTTTTAGGAAACGAAGTTTGGAGATGGGAGCTCGAGGGTGCGGAAACGCCTGCGAACTCCAGCGTAGGCAACACCGCGGGCACTCAAGCAGTGCGGGTCTCTCTTCCACGACGGCAGGCGGACAGACAGACAGGCAGACAGACAGGCGAGGGGCGCTAGGTGTGAGCCGGTCTCGCGCTTGTAAACAGGTAAACACATCGGCAAGCATGTTCGCTCCCATAACGGATGCACAGCATTGCACAGAGCGCACGGCGGACTGAGAGTCGTTTAGCTCGCTCTGTCTCTCTCCTGCTCATGTAGCGTGGTCACAGGTGCGAGAGAGACAGAGCGACGAAAACGACTCTCGGTCTGCAGGGGATGCGGCGTCGTCACGCAAGATATGCAAAGCCGGGACAGGCCAGGACACTGTGGTGGTTGTCGCAATACGTTCACTGCGGCTTAGCGGAGTGCCAGCGTCGTGTTGGACGTGGGTTCGAGTACCGACCGGGGCTTTAGGCATAAAAATGGTGTTCTAGATTTTTTAATCTCTTTTTATTTCAATTTTTTTTTTCTCATTTAGGTTAGTCTTTTTGTGCTCTTAATTTCTTGCTTCGAACATGGCTCAAGAAATGAAACAGGGTGAATCTAGAACACCCTACAGAACGTTTGCTTTCGTTTGCCTCGTCGTGCTGCCCCGTTTGTGACGATACTAAACGAGAAAACGACGCATGCCCGATTTCGCGGCGTTTATATTTAAATCAGCTCAACGAGCTTCGATCTGACCTTTGCCGTTGTCATTATCGATTTTCCAGCCGGTGACCAACAGCAGGGTGCCAGAGTCAAGGCCGCAGAGAGAGAGAGAGAGAGAGAGAGAGAGAGAGAGAGAGAGAGAGAGAGAGAGAGAGAGAGAGAGAGAGAGATGGGAAATATTGTTGTTTTGAAGCGTTGCCCTACTAATCTACTAATTAAATATTCAGCAACCGTCGCGGTATTTGCGAGGCACGCCTTGTCTCACTCGCACGCGGGAGACTTTGACCCACTTTCGGCGCGGCGTGCGTGGGCGAGGGCCTCGCCACTATGAACGTGTCCAGCCGCTCGCCTCTCTAATTGTTTTCGAAGAGAGTGCAAGTTGTCGATTTATTTATCTGCGCCTCCCCATCTCTGCTCTCTGCCCACCGTGCGGTGCCCGTGCGGTGCCCGTGCGGTGCCCGCCTCCATCGGCCTCCTCCTCCGCCACCGACGCCTTCAGGGCCGCGGACGTCACGGAGGATGTCGCATAGGAAGTAGTGCCCGTGATGTCACCGACACAGAAGCTCGGTCGCGCGCTCTTGTGTGTGTGTGTGTGTGTGTCGCACTCGACGCGGACACTAGAAAGATAAAGCCGCTGTTAATGAGAAAGACAGCAGCCTTCTCTGTCCTCTTCCTTCCGTACCAAGCGGATGAACGGATTCACTTCGAAGTTCAAAACGGACAACAATCAGTGCAGCGAAATTAATTTTAATCCTTCCGATATTTGAGTGAGAGTGCGGGGGAAAAGGGGGGGGGTGGCCTTGGGAGGAGGCTGGAGGCGACGCGGAGGGCGAGAAGAGGGGGGCGAGGAAGGTCGGGTAAATGCGGGTAATAAAAGCACTGGTGATTAATTAGTTTTACCGCTGCGGCGATGAGCGATTGAAAGACTGGCTTGATTGACTCGTAGAGGGCTGCGAGAGGAGCGGCCAACCGACAAGTTGGAAGAAAAAAGGTGTTCGTAGAGTCGCAGTTATTTGTCTCTAATTTTTGTTCAACTTCAGTTTGAATTTTGAGACCACGATTTTGAAGATGATCCATGTGTTTTCATCACTTTTTTTTTTCAAGATTGCGTTTTTTGATTGCTAATTGATTCCTGATTGGTATTTTCCTTGTTGTTTGCAGGCAAGAAGTGGCGCAGCCTGACGCCGCAGGACCGCCGGCCGTTCGTGGAGGAGGCCGAGCGACTGCGGGTCATCCACATGCAGGAGTACCCCAACTACAAGTACCGGCCGCGGCGGCGCAAGCACGCCAAGCGCACCGGGGGGCCGTCGCCGCCGCACGGCGCCGCCTCGCCGCCCGCCCCCGCCGCCACCCCCGCCAACCGGCGCACGCCGCCCTCCGCCTCCACGCCGCTCAAGAACTTCCAGCAGCAGTACGCCGCGTACCACGTGTCTCACGTGTCGCCCAGCAGCCTGTCGCCCTACCACGGCCACAGCCACGGCCACAGCCACGGCTACGGCAAGGGGTCGCTGTACACGCCGCTCATGCACACCCCCGAGGCCTCGCCCACGGGCAGCCCCGAGCCCGACTCGCTGCGGATGGCCATGAACAGGGTGCTCCCCGACAACCACCCGTCCTCGCCCGCCGCGCAGCACCACCAGCAGCAACAACAACAGCAGCAGCAACAGCAGCAGCAACAACAACAGCAGGCCCACCAAGCGCAGCAGGCGCAGGCCGCTCAGTCACAAGGTAGGTTCAACCGCCAAACTTTTCGTTAAAAAGTAGCCTCCGGTCTTGTTTACATTTTTGACGCTTGATGCAGGCGGTGGGTCCTCGTCGGAGGCAGGGGGCGCCGGCGCCTCCAAGACCGGCGTGGAGGACGTGACGGCGTCCGCGCTGCCCACGCCAGAGATGTCGCCCATGGACCAGGACAAGGACAACTTCCAGTTCAGCAACGGCGCCAACCCCAAGGCCAAGGACTCGGAATCCACGACGCCGGGCAGGAACAGCTGCCCCGCGCCTCCCTATCGGACGCCGCCCGGATCGGCGGCCGCCATCTTCCGGCAGTACTCCATGTCCTACCAGCAGCAGCAGCAACAGCAGCAGCAGCAGCAGCAACAACAGCAGCAGCAACAACAACAGCAGCAGCAACAACAGCAACAACAACATGAAGCAGGAGCCCTGTTTCAGCAGCATCAGTCCGCCATCGCCGCCATGGGTGTCTCCAACGGCATGATGATGATGTGCACTAACCAAAGATTATTAGGTAGGCCCGGGGTTCAAATACCAGCTTCTTGGCTAATGTCACATCTATTATATTTTTCACTCCGCTTACCGACCTTCACCGCCGCTATAATCCCTGTTTCTGTTTCAATTGTTAATTCTAAGACCGAGTCCGTCCTGCTGCAGGAACCACGTACGAACACTCGGGCTTGGTAACGGGGACCTTCTACCCGCCGGTGGCGTCGTCGCAGGACCAGCAGTCGCTGCACTACTCGAGGTTCACGACGACGTCGGTGGCCTCCAACACGGTGTCCTACAGCGCCGCGTCACCGGGCGTCACCCAGACGGTGTCGTACGGGGCGGCGTCGCCGGGCGTGGCGCAGACCGTGGCGCAGACCGTGGCGTACGGGGCGCCCTCGCCCGCCGCCGGCAGCGTGCCCTACGGTGCCTCCTCCCCCGCGGCCCCCGCCGCTGCGCCGTACGGGGCGCCCTCGCCGGCCGCGCCCACGGCGTCCTACGGCAGCGCGTCGCCCGCCGCCGCCACCGGCAGCTACGCGTGTTCATCGCCCGCCTCGCAGGACTACCCTGGTGAGTAGCTACACTGCAAAGTCCCTGCCGCTGGAGCCCCTGTGAACCTCCGGGTAGGCACACCCGCAACGCCTCGCCGTTCGGCGGGCTGGCCTACCCTGGAGTTCGCAGGGGCTCCGACGTCGGTGACCGTGGCGCCCGGCGCGCCCAGCGTCTCTGGGTCAATTTTTGGCGATGAACTGCCGGGCCGGCCTGCCGACCGTGAGTGTCTGTCTCTCTCGCACTTACGCGGGACGCTCTTTGAGGGGAAGAGAGACGGAGCGACGGAAACGGGTCGGAATCAGGCAGCAGGTAGCACCTTCCTAATCCGCGTCCGTTCCGTGGAGTTTCACGGTCCGGGGCGGGGCGGGGCGGGGCGGGGCGGGGCGGGGCGGGGCGGGGTGGCGGAGCGCCGCCGGCTGTTGGTTTTCATGAACACTTCGTGAGCGATCGGAAGAAGTCGGACGGATCGGACGGGCTTTGCTCGTCTCAGCTCACGTCTTCTCTCGGCGGTACACTGCCAAAGATTTCCGGATTTCCCCATTTCCCGAGACGCGGTGCGCTCGTTTTTGCCGCGCTGCTTTACCGAGGCCGAGCCAAACTGCCCCGAAAATGGCGGCCGGCCCACGCGTTCCGCGCTGCACCGCGGCACCGCGCGGCACGACTCCAAATTAAGGCCGCATTTCTTTTTGTTTCCCTTTCTCTCGCCCTTTTTTTCTGGCAGTGTGCCTTCGGTCGATCCCCTAGTGAGCCCCGTCGGGGTTCACGCCTCATCATTTCCAGTGAATCTCATTCTCAAATCTGGCAGGATCACCTCTGGTCCCGCTGGACCGGGCTGGGCTGGGGCCGCGCTGGGGCCGCGCTGGAGCCGCGCTGGAGCGAGCCCCGTGGCCACGGGGGGGCTCGGGATGACTGGAACATGTCCAGCGGGCGCGCTGTGCAGCTCCCGCCCCGGCCCGCCCCCGCACGGCCGCACGGCCAAAACCTACAAACTCGCTTGGTTCTCAATAAAAAGGAAAAAAATCGCACTTTTGGGGGAGCGTTAATGCCAGTTTTCAATTTCCTTAAGTCCTTCCTTGTAAATTCTTTCATTCAACGCTTTGGGTAAAGTCCAAAGCGAAAAGCAATCCCTTCGAATCACATTTATAACGTGACTTTCCCCTGTCGCCGCGCAAAGCCGCGAAGTTCGGAAATCGACTGCAAAAAAGAAAAAAAATGACTCGAGAGATGTGGCGCACTCGTTCGCCGGCTGTTCGATGACTCGGTCCAGTCCCTCCGCTCGTAATGATGCGGTCACCAGATACCCGAGGCGCCACCGATCGGAAAATGCATCCGAATGAATAAATATAAAAGGAGGGGAACGATAAATAAAAATGAATTTCTAGTGGTTCCGTAATAAAGAAATCGTGACCGGGACCTATCGGTGCGATGGCTGGACAAGATAGTGGTGTACTGGCCGCGCGGCAGGTCGGCGTGCTCTGGCCGCCCTGGCCGCGCTCAGACCGGTGCAAGCTCCGAGTTTCCGAAACCGTTTCGGGTTCGAGACCCGGTGGGGGAATTGCAAACTCTTTTTTTTCCTGCTCCGCTGGCGCTTTCCTGTCTCAGGACTCGTCCTCGCTCGCGCGGCTTGTGCGGCTTGTGCAGCCTGAACATACATGCATCCCGATCGAGATAAGAAGGCCATAAGGCACTTGCCGGCGGCAGCACGCCCCGTCCCGGTCCCGAGTCCGAGTCCGTCCCGAGTCCGTCCCGAGTCCGTCAGGCTGGCCGGACCTGTGACGGACAGTCGCCGCCAAAAACGGCCGTCTTTAACGCGCGCCCTTGTGTTGCAGGCAACGTGATGGTGCACGGCTCGCCGCGGTACAGTCAGCAGCAGCACGCCTTCAACCATGACGCGGCCATGGAGGAGGACGCCCAGCAGCAGCAGCAGCAGCAGCAGCAGCAGCAACAACAACAGTCCGGCCAGCAACAACAGTCGACGCCGCAGCAGCCGGCCCAGCAGACGCCGACGAACCAGCAGCACGACGGCGAAGTGACAGACTCGGACTTCGAGAAGTACCTCAAGTATTCCGCACAGCAGCACAACCAGCAGCACCACCACCAGCCACTGCCGCCCATGGACTCGAACCACAACTACCACCACCACAACTCCCAGCTCGACCAGCAGCAGCACCTCTACTACCAGCACCACCTGCAGCAGCAGCAGCACATGCTCATGACGCACACCGAGAGCTACGGCGTCTACATCAAGGCGGAGCCCGGCGGGCCGCCCCTGCACCACAACCACTACGAGATGCAGCAGCAGCAGCAACAACAACAGCAGCAGCAACAGCAGCAGCAACAACAGCAGCAGCAGCAGCAGCAGCAACAGCAGCAACAACAACAGCAGCAGCAGCAGCAGCACTGCCCCGCGCTGTACGAGCAGGCGCTGCAGGGCACCACGCAGGCGCCACTGCAGGCCCAGAAGGCCGACGAGGAGTTCAGCGTCATCCTGGCGGACGTCCGGAAGACGTGCTACAGCAGCTGATGCAGCGCGCCCCAAAGTGATCTCTTGTACATTGTTAAGACGATTATCATAATTATTTGTTGTTACTCTTCTTTTCTCGTTCGTCGTAACTTACGTGCTTTTATTTAAAAACCTCTTGTACTGCGATATTTATTTGTTGAAAACGCTCCCGCCGCGCTGCCGCCTCTCCCAGTGTACATAATTGTGATATTGCCCCCCGATGATTTTTTTCACTTTGGCAGCGCGGGGGAGTGTTTGCTGTTTTCGGGCGACCGACAGTGTCGCGGCCCCCAGACTCGGCTTCGAGCTATCGAGTCGAGATCGACTCGAGGTATCGAGTTGTCAAATGCGTTGGCAGGCCTCATTGGCTTCTGCGGCTACGCGAGGCTACGCGAGTCCGGGAGCCCTCCCTATCATCTTTCCCATACCGAAGACTGATTTTCTGTTCTCTGCTGAGACTCTGGGGGTCCGATCGCCTCACACTAGTCGCCTGGTTCCAGGTGCTGGACTGCTCAATGTAAAAAAAAAGAAAAGAATTAAAAAATGCTACGAAACAAACCGAAACGTCCTGTTGGGAATGTGAGGTTTTGACCGCGTTTTGGCAATTGTGATCATGTGTGTGATTTGTTTTCGAACATTTTGAAGGATAAATGTCCAAGTGATAATGATCAAGTATTGACCCTGATGTCTTCCATACTCAACCCAATGTTTTTTTTTCCATGCCCGTGTACATAAAAGACACCCAACGTTTTATTGTAAATAAATTGACCCCCGTGCTTCGCGGTGTACCAAATTTTTTATTCCAAGCCACAGGATGAAAAAGTGTTAATCAAATGTTGTATATTTTGTTAGGAATTCTTTACTGTTGTTGTAAATTGCGTTGAAAAAGTAATTTAAATATTTCCCCAGAGTTTATATTTAAAATATGTTGAAATTCTAAAACCAATGTACATATATTTTATGATTGGACATAGATATATAAATGAGTTTAGTATATACCACGCGTTGAAAGTCGCACCAGACCAGCACAATACCGGTTTTTATTGATATTACAAAAATGTATATTTTTCTTATGCTACAAATGTTATTGTTCTTATGGCCGTACTGCAGCACAATTGTATATGTCTTTTGTATATTTGTGTTTGATATGTTACAATAACTTACTACGCCTGCAGTTGTCCCTGCCGGTTAGACAATCTAAATAAAGGAAGAGAGCATAAGAGACGTACCGCCTTCTCACTCGGTTTCCAACCTCCCGCTTCCCGCGCTTTCGCTGAAACCAACACCACAGCAAAAACTTTTCAGCAGAGTCCTGCACTCCGCTTATGACCACTACTACGCAATGCAGTGTCCTCTGCGGCAATGCGGCTCAGCGGATTGCACCACGACCGACACCTCCGCGGAGGGAGAGCAGCGTCTGCCAGTAATGAAACAGTAAAGTGCAACGGACACGGCGTGAGCATTGGCAAGCGTGGCCCGTCGCTGTCTCTCTCGCACCCCTACGGAGCGCCCCAGGAGTGCGGCAGAGACAGAGGCGGCTGGCCAGTGACCTTAATCAAGCACTCGATCACGTGGTGTTTGAACCGGGCGTGGCGCGGCGCTGCACAGTGGGCCGGAAGGCCGGCGCCAGCGGCCAAAACTCTAGACGCGTTTCGAGCTCCCGACTCGCTAAACGACTCGAATCGAACGTGTGATCCCATCAATCGATTCATCGTTCGGAGAGCAATCCATTGGTGGGGTCACACGCGCGGTTCGAGTCCCATTGAGCGACTCTGGAGCCCAAAACGCGTCCGGGATTTTGATCGCCTCCACCGGTCTTCTGGCCCACTGCGCGCCGTGGGGTAGTGACGCGGCGTCCTCCCACACCGTCATTACCGCTGCTTGACGGCGGCTCGGCGACACGGTGCAGCGCGCGGGGCGTCACTCCGGTAGCTCGTGCTCGCGGGGCGGGGCGGGGCGGGGCGATGTGATCCGCTGAACCGAGGAAGTTGCCCAACGCCGCGGCGCGTCCACGGCGACGTCCACGGCGGCGTCCACGTCACGCGGTGACATAGTGCCGTCCCACTCCCACTCGGCGCCGCTACCCCCGCCGCGCCGTGCCGCGTCGTGCCGCGCCGTGGGCCGCCCCCGCGGGACGCACGTAGCGGGCTGGAAACGCACCGCGGCCTTCGCCATAAATGCGCCAGTAATTGCCAGTGTGGTAATTTCTAACGCGGTCTAGTGCCGGCCGTGGAGTCGGCGTCGAGTCGGCACGGAGCGCGCAGGCCGCCTGGAAGGTAGGCAACACCGAGTGCCCCGCAGTGTCCCGGGCCTTGCCGCCGGGTGCGAGAGAGACGGAGCGACGAAAGCACTGTTCGGTGTTCGGTATCAAAGCGGCAAGCTGACTTCGTAAAGTATTTGCAACCGACAGCCACCGCCCTGTCGGCCCCGTCGTCGCGCGTGTGCCCGCGCCCCGCTGGGCCCAGCCGGGGGCTCCATCTCTCTCGCACTCGTGGGGCGCGCCGTAAGGGTGCGAAAGAGACGGAGCACGCTGTTCGGAACGAGCCGGCCGGTGGTCCCGGACATGTGTGGGGATCCCCTGCCGCTCCACGGGGGGCTTGCAGTGTGCTGGCGGTCCAGGTGGCCGCGCGGCGCCGAGTCGCCATCGTCGAGGCGAGCAATATAGTCATACACGCACTCACTCGTTCCACGCGCCGTGCCTGCCATGTTCGCAGCACAACGGCCCGCCCCGCCCCTTCCCACGAGGGCATGCATGGCCCTGGCCGCCCCACAGTGGGCCAGGTCGGTGGAGGCGGCCAAAGCTCTAGACGCGTTTTGAGCTCCAGAGTCACTAAACGGAACTAGAACCGAACATGTAGCCCCACCAATGGATTGCTCTCCGAACGAGAAATCCATTGGTGGGGTCACACGTTCGGTTCGAGTCCTGTTTAGGGACTCTGGAACTCAAAACGCGTCAAGAATTTTGGCTGCCTCCACCGGCCTTTTGGCCCACTGTGCGCCCTGGCCCGGGGCCCAGCCAGACCCTAGCGCCCGAAGGGTAGGCAGCCCAACAGGCACGCCGCCAAGGCGCGTTGCGTGACTCCACGGCGACGCCCAGCCGTCAGGCAATTTGGCCATCGGAGTGATTGACAACAATTGGTTGGTGACTACACTTTTATTGCACGAAACGAGATGACACAAAATACATAGAACAGTTGAACTGTAAATGCAGCATTGTTCACTTTGGAGGTGACTAGAACATCGAATATAAAATAGAATTATGCTTATCAGGGCTGTCAGGTTGGAAATATTCCTGTAAAATGAGACCCCTGCCACACGGAATGCAGATGTGAAAAATACAATTTATTTCAAAAGATAGTGCTGGATTCAATTGAGTGAAACCCTCTAAAAAGGTAAACTTAGACTAAGTACCCTCTCTTAAAATCTGCCCACTCTTTTTAAAATCAGCTATAGTCAGAGCAACACTATGTAAAATAGAATGGGCACTCTCATTTTCATTTCCAGAAACCCCTAGAATGCGCCCACATTCACGAACAAAATACTCTAAATCTGCTATATCTTCTGCCCCTCCAGGGACCACACACTTGTTGGTAACTTGAGCGAGACGGGATCTATCAGAACTGAAAGCCTCTTCTAGGTCAAACAACTCCAAAGGAGGTGGTGGCAGCTCTCGAAAAGATGGTGGAAACACCTGCAGAAATTCTTATTAAGTAAAATGCAGATACATGCAATAAATGAGACTCAATTGATATAACTTACAGCAGCTTGCAAGGGAGGCAAGGGTGTTTCAAACTGGGGAGTTATCAGCCTTAGTGGCTCATGCTTTACTCCAAGAGTTTCGTAGGCCCGGACTGCATCGGCCACTACTCCAGTATGGAGAGAAAATAGCCGAGTGTCTATCAGTGAAGTGTAGTCCAGAGGAATGTCAACGGCACTCTCTTGAAGACAAAGTCGGGGCCGGTCAGCTAAGTAACTTATATCAGGTACAGGCGTGTAGTCAGCAATCTGCACACAATTCCATTGTCAGCAACCAAGAATAAAAATGCTGAAACACAATAAACAATGAGCAAAACAATAGTTACCTCAGGATCTTCAGCATCTACTGCATTCAACTGAACTTGATCGGTTGTTAAATAGCGAAATATTGCATCACGTAGCCTATCATTGTCTTCTTTTTCCAAATATGGATCCGCAAAGAAGTGACCAGAACCCAGGACCACCAATCTCCCGCTTCTCTCAGTGGAGCCTGTGGAGAGGTGAGCAAGATTTAAAAAAACATGAAATCAAAGGATCCAACATCCAAGAGAGAAACACAGCATACGTGAGGAGCCCCCAGCTGGCTGATGGGAATAGAAAGCGCAAACAGGTCTATTGAGAGGGAAGGCAACAGTCCCCGTAGAAAGAACAGCGACTGCTGGCTTGGCAACACTCAAAGTTGCTCCAAATGGATAAACAAATTTCAGATTTCTGTAATCAGGGAGACATTCATAAAATTAACAAAAGACTGTTGTTTTACATTATACAAAACTGGAATAATAGAACTTACGACTGGTGGTTGGTTCCATTGGTTGACCTAGAGTAGCCATTTACTGAGGGCCCAGTTGACCCAGCAGATCCAATACGAGTTGCTGCCTCAGTGACACCTCTGTTTAGCACTCCACCTGATACCAGACACTCTTTTGGATGAAAATATTTGTAGTAATGAGTGCGAACTACGCAGTCTATAGAAATGTAGGGAAAACAATATCATATTAAGAGAAGGGTATTACATGATTTAAAAAATGCAATCCAATAGCTTCTTACACTTACCACTATTAACCATGATGCCAAATTCCTCTAACATAAAATTAATATTGGTATTGAATGACTTTTCACCTCCCTCACCTAGCAAAACTAATATGCTACCCCCAGATTCTAAATATTTTTTTAGAGTGTCTACTTCTGCCTCAGTAAACTTCTGGCGGGGCCCGGGAAGGACAAAGAGGCTAGCGCCAGTGATCGCTTCAAGATTTATGTCATCCTTGTTCACAACAACACGCCAACTTCCCTTAAGTTTTCGGTGGAGTGTTTTGTAGGTATCATCCAGGCGAAATTGTTCATTTTTACTTATATTAAAAATTATAGTATCACTTCTGTCCTTCATGGTGAACTGTGACTGGAAAATAAAATAGAATTCATGAGTTCTGGAACACATCACAAACACACAAGGAACAAACATGACTGAAGTTTTACATGATAAGATAGACATACCTGTCATTCAGAGGAAAACAATGGAATTTCTGTTAGATTCGAGAAAAACATAGCAGTCGCTGGTCAGCAGATAACTGAGGTCACTTTGACATATTTCAAATAAGTTGTTCGAACTCACTCTAAGTAAAACTAGAAACAATGTCAAAAGGAGGACCTCTTCCAGGACAGATCTGTCTTGTCTGTTTATTTATTTGTTTGGTATGCGCCCGCCATGTTGCAAACACGGAGGAAACGAACCATGAAGTTCCAGAAGGCGTATTCACATCTACCAACGGTCTAAAACGAAATGTCCCAGTAGCTTCTGACATTGTTCTCGCGAGGTTTCTTCAAAACTAACATTCGAAAAGTACAAATGAATGTTGTTTTACGAAGGAAACTAAACGAATTCTTCCGTAGGTCACGCAAAGATTTTCGAAATGGCGCTTTGAAATTTATTCAGGTGGTTGGTACGGCTGCCACTTTCGCCTAGCAGAAGAGCGACACGAAGAAGGTGGAAGATCCGTCCGGCTGACTGGCACTCATTCTCAGTTCTCCACTCCAGCTTGCCGCGGCACATTCTTCCATCAACTCCCAAGGAAACATGGTGAGTCCTTGCAACGGCAGAGGACGCTGTCCGACTCTAGCTTCCATCGGTCATCAGTTAGACACTCGATGGTGTCGTGTCGTTGTTGCTCGCCGCCCGCAACTACCGATAGGAAGTAGTATTTGTGGTGTGACCTTGGACTTCCGAAAGGTCGACTCAAGTTTGGTTGTGGACTCCGACACAGCGACCTTGCCCTTGTCGCCGCCATGCGAATGCTTCTAGGGTTTGTGGAAACTCTGCGACGTGCAACTCTTCGTCCAACCTCGTGGTAGCGCATGTCACTCGTCTGCGCAGCGCAACGCCCTCCCCGAAGGAAGGGTTAACTCGATTTCCCCGAAATGGCTGTCAGTTGGAACCGGCACCCGCCTCACTCACTGACGGTGCATTTTCCTCTCGTTCCGCGCTTGTCCTCTTGTAATTGTAACTTAAAGTTACTCTTATTTTTATTTTCATTTTCGTGGTTGGCCGTTTGGTACTCTGGGTTTATTCCCTTCCTGTCCCCAAGCACATTGAATGAGCAGTATGTTAGAGGCTTATCAGCCCAAAGACCTGTCAGTTTTATCTGCTTATCTAGTGTCATACTGGACAACAAACAGCTGAAGATAAGCTGGCCTCTTTATGTCCTAACATTCTTGTCTTGGCTGTTGCAGGCTCAACCAATCAGGGTTGTTATTACTGGAGCGGCTGGCCAGATTGCCTACTCCCTGCTGTACCAGATTGCTAAGGGTGATGTCTTCGGCCCAAGCCAGCCCGTCATCCTCCACCTGTTGGATATTCCCCCCATGATGGGCGTCCTTGAGGGAGTTGTCATGGAACTGGCAGACTGCGCTCTGCCCCTCATCCATGGTAACACCCAATGACAGTTGAAGAATTGTCTGCAGCTGTGAGGTGTGGGGCCACAGAATTGAATTGTTTGTTTGGTTCAGGTGTTGTTCCCACTGCTGACCCTGCCGTGGCTTTCAAGGATGTGGAGGCTGCCTTCCTGGTTGGCGCTATGCCCAGGAAGCAGGGCATGGAGCGCAAGGACCTGCTCTCTGCCAATGTCACCATCTTCAAGGTTCAGGTGGGTATCTCTGCTTATTCATTTGTTCTTCTTAAATATGAACTTTGTTAAATATATTTTTTATATTTAGGGTCAAGCTCTGGACCAGCATGCCAAGAAAACTGTCAAGGTTCTTGTGGTTGGAAACCCAGCCAACACCAACGCATTAGTATGCTCCCGTTATGCTCCTTCCATTCCCCGTGAAAACTTCACGGCCATGACCCGATTGGACCAGAACCGTGCTCAGGCCAACATTGCTGCCAGGTATGAATCTATTCAGTCTTCATTTTAGCATTAGGCTGATACCTGATCCTGATTCTTAAACTTCTTAAATTTCTTAGGCTTGGTGTCAACGTTGCTGATGTCAAGAATGTCATCATTTGGGGTAACCACTCCTCCACTCAGTACCCTGATGTGAAGCACGCCACCGTCACCAAGGGTGGCGCCTCCAAGAATGCCTATGAGGCTGTTGCTGATGAGGCTTACCTTAAGGGAGAGTTCGTTTCTGTAAGTAGCCCATTGCTGTGCCATTACAGCAATTTTGCAAATATCCAACAGACATTAATTGTAGGCTTCCAATTTTAGACGATCCAAACCAGGGGTGCTGCAGTGATTGCTGCCCGCAAGATGTCCTCCGCCATGTCTGCCGCCAAGGCTGCTGGCGATCACATGAAGAGCATCTGGCAGGGAACTGCCCCTGGTGAATGGGTGTCCATGGGTGTTGTCTCAGACGGCTCTTATGGAGTGCCTGCTGATGTTGTCTACTCCTTCCCTGTAACCATTAAGGACAAGAAGTGGACCATTGTGCAGGTTTGTGTTGTCAAGTTTGTGTTGTCAATTTTGCCGATGTGGTATTTCTCTTATTCGCATCTTGAATTTCAGGGCCTGCCCATTGACGACTTTGCGCGTAGCAAAATGGACCTGACCGGAAAGGAGCTGCTTGAAGAGCGTGCGGAAGCTCTTGCCGTGTGCCAAGATTGACTTGTAGCAACCCCAACTGACCGCAGCAAGCTGTAGGGCCCCATCCAACAAATTGCCCTCTACGACAGCAGTTGGGGACTCGGACACATCACCACCTGCTTTTTATATTTTTATGTTACTTCAATTTTTTTTTGTACATATAGTTTGTAGTGTCATGTTTGTGTGAAGGTTGAAGGACTTGCCACATCTGTACCTAGTCATTTATTCTGCAAAATACTACATTCCATTTTAGCTACCTGAGTTTACCGTACTTTTTATTTGCATTTTTGTTTGTTTTTGTGGCATTTTAAAGCATCTATTTTTGTAATTATATTGTAGGCATTCTGTTTAATGGTGTCTGGTGCCCCTTATATCTCTGCTGTTGAGGGTGGGTGTTTCTGTTTCCTAGATTTATGTTAGCAGGGAGGAATGTCAAACTGTACATGCAGAGTTCCAACCCTTGCCTCCCCTTATGTGTGAGAACAATAATTTCAGAGTTCAAAATTTTAATGTATTTAAATACATGTTGTGTAATAAAAGATATCTGGTCCCTGTTCATCTTCTATCTTCATTTATCCTTCTTTCAGCATTGCCAGAGGAAGACCTTGTGGTCATGACCCTGATACCACTTCACACCTCACCTGTAGTACTGTGAACTTGAATATGAATGAACTTTTGGTCAGAACCCATATGGGACTTGCACTCCACCTTATTTAGAGGGGGATTAAGTTCGTGAGACTACGAGTGCGAGGGGCTTGAGGCATGTGGTGAATGGAGTCAGTACCTGTCACTTTAGGTAAAGAACAGGGTTGGATGAGTTTGAACTAGGCGCTCTTAGAGAGGGGTGGTGGTTTTCCCCCGTTTCCGGTATCCTGCATATTTGTAAACAATGGCGTCTGCTTCAAGTACGAGTGCACGCAGTTTATTTGTCGATTCAAAGCTCCGACTTGCCGATAGAGTGCAAGTAAATGTGAATAACATTGCCTCTGTCGCCAGACAAATAAATAGAGGCTCTAAATCTAGTGAGGTGAGTAAGAAGTTTTGGTCACGAGTCCTTCGCGCGAGTGAGGTTAAGCTGTCAAGTAGAACCATCGTTTGTTGTTAGACTTATGACGGTAATGAAATAGTGTATCAGGGATTTATTCCTCAATCGCGCTTTTCAACATTCTGTTCGGCTTTCCAGACATTATTCCACACGGCGAAAAACATGGCACTTCAGGAACATGCGATTGACAACACAGAAGAAGTGAGTGAATGTACCTGTCATTTACTATTATAATTATTATGTTTCCATACAGAAACGTTGTCATATCTGTTCCTTAGAATTTGAAGAAGCTGCAGCAACTTAACCTCCAATTAAACCAACAGCAGGAGTCGATTCAACGAAATGTGATGTTGTTAGAAGAAGTTAAAGAACAAGTTCGAGCCATGCAACGATGACAAATTGATCATAATTAAGATAATATACATAAAATTGTGCGAGTGTGATGATTGTTAAGGTGAACAATGTCAAAAGACTAGGTTAAAAATATATTTAATAATAATCTGATAAAAATAATGAAAGAATCAATTTGGAAATGATTGTACAATGCAAGTTTTACATAACTTCTATTGGCTTCACTTAATCTTAGCGAGAACCTCTGCACGCCTCGAGGTATTCTGGAACAGAGCTCGAATCAACTGCTTCACTTGTTCTACTGAAAATTCGTGGGCAAGGGGCCCTTTACCATCAGCCCATCCCTCTTCAATCTCTCGCAAACTGGCATTAAGTAATGAGATAAGTTCTTGGAACTGACGCCATTGTTTCACATAGAGAACAACCTTGCTGCCATTCTGAATTTAAAAAAAAAGCAACAACAATATTTTAGACAGTCATCGTATGAAATTTGGAAGCAGTAAATAAAGGCAAATGTATAAGTGATATTTATACCTCAAACAGTTTTGGAATCCGGTCTGACACTTTTTTGAAAAGTGAAGTCAGGTGAACTGCTGTGTTGGCAGGAATGTCTTCCACACTTACAACTCGGAGAATGAGCTCCTCTACAAAGGTATTTGCCAATACACCTGAGAGTAAAAAATAAATTAAAGTCTTATAGCATTTGTTACAAGAAATCCCTTCAGAAGGAAAGTCTTTTACAACAACAAACACACCAATGGATTTTGAGTAAACATCTCCAGGTAATACAGTTTGCCACACTATTTGTAGCAACTCAAGCCGCTTTAAACACTGGTCTAAAGTTCTCTCTGTGTCAGAGGAGAGTTCCGAGTTCTCTCCTAATGTTGCTAAGCCTGAAAGAAGAGAAGATTTGTTAAAAGACAACCCACTAACCCCTTTTACATTTGACAAACTGAAATAATTACCAGACTCCTTAACAAGATCCAACATTTGTTTCCTTTGCTGTCGCATATGTTTTAAGAAAGTGACAGTTCCTAGATGTCTGAGGCCTACCACGTATTCCACAAATGTTGCTCGGACGTCAGCATTGGAATTAGTATGCAACGATGAGTCAACTTCAAAGCCCAAAACATTCAATCGGTGGGCAAGGAACATACAGTTATTATGAAAAAGAGCTGTAAAAGAATTTGTTTCATTAAAAACAGTCTGATTAATCTTGCATTCGATCTTGTCTTCCATGAACCAAAGTGCCTTACCAACTTGCTGAGGAATAAGGCTCAGTTGATTTTCATGGAAAGTTGGAACAACAGCCATGTACAATTCGAACACAATTTTTGCTGTACTAATAAAATATTGAACTAAACCATTTTCTTTAGAATCTCCAGTGTTCTTTGAATCCTCTAGGATGGTACTAACAAGATCCAGAATCTCTATGGTTGATTTACTGTAAAACACGAATTTTAAAAAATGACACAAGACAAAGCAAAGAAACAATAACAAACAATATGTTACTGAAAAAGAAGTACATATGTAAAGCATAGTTTCTGCTAGCAGAAATTTTTTTTCAAGAAAAGCAACAAAACACTTACCTTACACAACATTTAGGAAATTGGAAAAAATTGGAATTCAGATCCGACTCTGCTTTGATGGCAATATTGGAAAATGACTCTTGCATAAACACTGAGGGATCAACTACTGTCTCTGAATTATCAAGTGTTGAACTTAAGGACAATAAAGGAGTCTGAAAATTCATAAGAAATGAAATGATAATTTAATTTATAACAAAATGAATGAGGCAAACTGGAAGAGAAAAATGACCTATAATTACAATACCTGTGGACCCACTTCTACCATGTCTTGCAGATCTTTTTTCATGATTTCACGCGCTTTTTTGAGGTAATTTTCAAATGCTTTTTCAACAGAAACTGCATAAATATTGTGGGCATACTCTACAATACTGGAGTCATTCTCAGAAAGAAATCCTGTAAAAGGTCATTGCCAAATTTGGGATAAGTGCATGCAAAATTAAGATGCAATAAAACAATAACAACAAATTGAATAGCAGTCCATGAAAGCCATAGTTACCAATGTCAACCAAAAATTTGTTGAAAGCAATAACTCTGTCTTGGATACTGGTCAAGTTGACCGGCTCAGCATGAGTGCTGGGTACTGTCTCCTTCAAGCATTTTTTAATGAGATTATCAGTGAACTCTGCTGAAATTCCACAACCCAGTAATCCTAATAAGAAGTCACCATTCTCAAATTGCATGTCCAATTTTTCATGAAGAAACTTAAGGCACTAAAAAAAGTTTAGAACAATGATGCCATGAACCAATAGAAATCAAACCAGTATAGAACATATTGCATTTGACTGGAAATGAAGCTTACCTTTGTGAGATTATCCAAAACCAAGAGATAAGGAGGCTTGTGAGACGATGTCTTCACTGCCACCTGAACACTGCTGTATGCTTTTCCACTGTGAATGTTCACTGTAGCCTCATTAAGTATGAGGGGTATCAAGACCGATCGCATCAAGAATTTCCGGAGCTTGTTCAACCATGGATCTAGCTCTTCCATAAGGTGAAAGGCCTGCAAGACTTCTTGCTTTTCTTCTTGATCATCAGATCCAAGCTAAAGGGTAATATTCCAAAGTTTTTCACACAAAAAATAAAACTATACTATGTTAACCAAAATGCCTTCTACATACCTTAATTATGGACTTGACTACATTGTTAGCAGCATCAGAGCTCTCCCATGATATGAAAACAGTCAGTTTATTGAGCAGTTCACGGTAAAACTCTGAATGAAGGGATTGGTAGCGTCTTTGAAGTGATTTGTAAATATCAAGCAGGCGAACTTCCTGGGAAGACTCCTTCAATAATTCCTAAAAAATTTTTAATGAAATTAAGCCAGCAGTTGCAAAAAAAAAAAGTTTGAAAGTGAGAACTTTGCTCATGTACCATACCCGCAATGATTGAAGAGACTTAGCCGCCTCAACAAACTTCCTTTCTTTCCGAGCATCCTCTACACCTCTCATGAAACTTTCCATCTGCAAAAGTTCAGTTGTAACAGCATGAACAACTGATGCTTCTTTGAGAGAGTCATGTAGACTTCTTAGCTCACCAGTTGAATTAGCAAGATCATGTTTAGTCTGTAAAATAAGGTACGTTAAAATTGAGATAAGAATTGCAGAAAGCCAATGGAATACACAAATCATACAAATGTACAAATTTAACACACCTGGAACTCGATGCGGTTAAACAGAGTGTTTATCTCGTCTGAGGTCCTGACAGCATTATCAAGGAAGCCAACAGTCCTTTTCATGAGTGGATCAAAGTCAATGAACTTGCTCTTCATGTAATCGTGGACACGCAGCTTCAGCTGGGAAACATTCTGCGTGACATTCATGATCCGTTCCTTGATGTCACTCATTTCAACTTGGCCTGCCAAAAGAATTTACAAATAAAAAAAATGCTTAAGCACTCGAGTAATCTGTTTTTGAAGGGTGACAGAAACATGGAAGCTATTCAGTGTATATGACTCAGTTGGGATAGACAAAAACAAACAGCCACTTGTCAAAATCGTCTGCTGACCTGCGTTGGAAAGGACAGCCTCGAGAAATGAGGGCTTCCCCACGTTGGATTCACCGAGGCGTTCGGCCATGGTGAACAAACTAATTTCGTTTGGCACGTCGTCAAGTGCTTAAAACAATTCACAATGTTTTGAGAAAAGTTGGGTTTGATGGCCGGCTGGCGGTTTTGTGGCGCTTCAGTGGCAACAACCAGTACGGCAACGCTGCAAAGAAAAAAACCCTACTGGTTAATGCAGTGTTCGCGAAACATTTCTAGGAAACAAAGAGGAAAAGCTCTGAATGATAGGTTTAAAAGTGGAGAAATGTATCTCATGCATGAGTCAACACGATAGAAGCCATCTCAAACGCGACATTTTAAATTTGAAAAAACTATGAGTGGTTGGCTAGCCTGCAAACGACCACCGCCTTTTGGAAAGGTGGCGGTGGGAGCGCCCCCTGGTGGTCGACGGCCGAAGCTCGGTTCCGCAGTTGCGCCCGCGGGCGGGGGCGCGCGGGGGGTCTGGGGTGGTCTGGGGCCTAACTCGCGACTGCAGAGACAGAGACAGACTTCAGTGCGGGTCGAGCTGTAGAGCCGGGCGCCTCCGTCGCGCTCCGCGCCAACCGTGCCGCCGTCGCGAGCGCGCGCGAGTGAGTTGTGCATCGGTTTCCGGTGTAGTGGTGAACGAGTGTGCTTAACAAGAGCCGCACCAAGACCACCGTCACAATGAGAAGGAACGTCAAACTGCTGCTGCTCGGATGCATGGCCTGGATGTTTGCCATTTTCTACTACCTGCAGACGTCAAAATTCACGAAGGTTGGTTGTTGTTTGTGCTGCCTGCTCTCGGGCGAGTGCGCTGTCGACGCGCGTCGCATCGCGGAGGTTGTGCGTCCGTGGTGAGGCTGGCCGTGGCTCACTGGCCGGAGAGCCGTCTGCTGGCGGGGGCGTGGGGCCGTGGGGCGGCGGCCAGCGGCGGCGCGGGGAAGGGGATGCCATAACCTCCAAGCGGATTGTTGTGGCTCGCGGTTCAAAGGGCGGCTGCTCCGCGCGTCGCCGGGGGCTGGCGGCCCGGCTGCGCCGTCTGCCGCACTGTCACGTCCCCGCGGCGTCCCGCGGTCGGCCGATGCGGCCCGCACCGCGGCCAGGTGTCGGATCAGCTGATCGTGTTTTGGTCGCACCCTGGGCAGCCCCGCCTGGCCCCGCCTGGCCCCGCCTACACTCGTCCTGCGTCGTCCTGAGGCGTCGTGGGTTTACCACACTGTAACCGTGGCCTTGCCACTTCGAACGGCGTTCAACAGCGATAAGATTAATTCAGGGAGCCATGTCACTGCAAGTGTTTGTAGCGCGAGTTCGTTTGAACTGTGTCCCCCCCCCCAATCCCCCGGTGTTGTTGTTTGAATGATGAAGTGCTGCCTGGAAAACCTCTGCGTCGGGTACCGATTTGTGGCTCCGTGCGATTGAACTCAAGTCTCAACCGTTTCAACAACCTCTGTTGGAATAGTTTAATTTAAGGGTTACAGGAACTTGGACTGTCTGTAAAAAAGAACATTGTCCCAGAAAAGTGTTACTCTTAGACGTGTCGCCTGTCCTCTTTAATAGCATCTGTCAAAAGTCTGGCAAAGCCGTTTCGGTGAACGAAAGTCCCATGTGGGAGGAATAGGGGGCGGGGGGAGGCACAGCACGGCAGTTGGCAGCCCCTAAACGACACTCGTAACGCCAACAACCATTTTTTTGGCTGCCGCGCGACGATTACGGGGACCTGATACCTGATCAATATTGCAGCCCGCCCCCTTTACCGCACGCGGGCCGAAAAAAATGATAAAAAACTGCGGGCGCCGCGGAACGTCGAACGCTTCGCGCCGCCAGGACCCTGTGATTGATAAGGCCGCGATAAGATTATATCGGCGGCGGGGCGGGGGCCGTCGTGTGGTGGAGTGCGTGTCCGTCTGTCTGTTCAGTCATTCAGCCAGTCAGTCATTCAGTCAGTCATTCGCCAGCCAGTCAGTCATTCATTCATTCATTAAGTCAGGCAGTCAGTCATTCAGCCAGTCAGTCATTCAGTCAGTCATTCATTCATTCATTAAGTCAGGCAGTCAGTCATTCAGCCAGTCAGTCATTAATTCATTTTTGAATGAGTTTCCGACAGTACAAAAAAAAGGCCTCCCGATGGAGCTTCGGAACACACTTTCTTCTTGGCAGTGCAGCGGTCCGTCTGTCCGTGTGAGTGTCCCCACGCCATTAGCCCGGTGTTACATTCGTTACATGACACCGCGGCGTGGGCGCCGAGGCGTGGAGTTTCGCGGAGCGGGCAGCGGAGCCAGAGCGGGGCACGCACCGTGCAGACAGTCCCGCGCTCCGGCGAGTCATCCAGTCATTCAGTCTGACACTGTCTGGCTGCGCGGCGCTCCGCGGCCCACGCCGCGGCCTTGCTCGCGCACACACGCACGCGCGCACTCACACAGACGCATAGACTCACGCAGCGCCGTTTTTCGCGTGTATCCTGCTCTGCTGCCCCCTTGACCTCCCTCTTTCGGCACGACGCGCTCTTACGATCCTTCCGTTGTAACAATCTTAGCACCCACACCGATCGTCGCGTCACATTATTTTCATATCAGACTATGCTTTTCTATATTTTTTTTTTCGCGGACGCGTTTTTTTTATCCCCCTATTTTTTTCTAGCAGCAGGTGGCGGCGCCGGGGCGTTTGCGGCGTGGTTAGGTCTGCCAGTCCTCCGCAAACCTCTACTCGCATACTCTCCATTTTCCTCTCCAGTGGAGCGACGCGGGGAGGGGGGGGGGTCTCTGTCACTTGCCCGGCCGATCCGCCCTGCACTTACTCCAAAGTGTCTTCGGCTGGCGCCTCTGGCCCGTCTAGCCTCCAGCCTAGCCTCGTTCTAGCCTCGCTCTAGCCTCGCTCTAGCCTCGCTCTAGCCTCGCTCTAGCCTCGCTCTAGCCTCGCTCCAGCCTCGCTCTAGCCTCGCTCTAGCCTCGCTCCAGCCTCCAGCGACGCGCTGACGAGCTCACCAGTCCGTCAGGGGCGTAGAGTCCTGCAGTGTAGTGGCGTGTCGCGCGTGCGTCGTGCCGCTGTCTTCTGCTCCACCGTGCGCGCTGATTGGCCGCCGAGGTTTGGGCGGGCAGACAGATAGACAGACGGGCAGACAGACAGACAACCGGAGGCGTCAACGGCGTAACAACGATTAGCTCTGCCCCGCACTGTGACAATAAGGTATTGGTGTGCCGTAAGCACGACGGCAGACAGACAGACAGCTAAGTGGAGCGGGCGGGTCGAAGTGTCATAACTGTATTAAGCCCATTGGGCGTTCCAAATGGAGCCGCAATGCGCGGCTTAATTCGTTTAGAGGCTCTGGAAAAAAGAGAGGAATGTCGTCTCGTCGCGCGGCGATCGTCCTCGGCAGCTCTTTTCATTTTTTTCCCCTCGGCGCCGCAGAGAGCTCGTCAACAACGAGGTGGTTGTGTTGCTGCGGCTTGTTTGCTGTCGTAGCCCCGTAGCCGTGTGCCAAAATGCGCTGATTTGGGGAGGAATGGGTTTCGGGTTCAATGCACTCGAATTTTTCGCTTATGTTCATTTTTTTCTTCTAAATTTTAGAGAAAGGCTCTTGTAGGACTTCAGGCTGGTGAAGCAACTTTAGTACTGTACTCTTTTTCAAAAATTTCTTTTGTGTGTTAGATAGCCTAGCCGGTAGGGTTTTTCGGGCCCTGCAGCTTCTCAGGTGAAGCAGGGTACTGCCAGTGTATTGGCAGTGTATTGCCCTGCCCCGCCGCCTCCTCCAAGCAAGCCTCCAAGCCTCTGTTTATGGCATTCTTCACGCTGCCCATGCCCGAATGAGAACCCGGGTCCTGGTTCAGCACTCTCTCTCTCTCCCTCTCCCTTTTTCTTTACTTCTTCGTGTTTTCCCCCGTCACTGCCCGGAATCGGGTAGTGGATTCGATTCCGTGCGATTCGACGTGAAATCCGTGGACGCGCCGTCCGGCAGACAGACGCAGACGGACGCGGGTCGGTTTCGACCATCCATCTGGCGCGCTCCAAATGTCTCACGGAGTCTTTCGACCAAGGAAATAGCACAAGCGCAGTTGTTCTTCCTGCTAAGGATTTTCTTTGGAAACCGAATCAAAAAAAGATATAGACTGTTGAGAAATTTCCCCGTGCCTAAACCCTTGCTCCAAACTCACTTTCACTGTGAGACACTTAGAGTGTAGGTCCGTCTGGCCTTTTTCACTTTTTCATCGTTTCATCTTGCCTTTGCGGGCGCACTGTAGGGTGGCCATGGCCCCGCCTGGCCGTGTATCTTTGGGGGCTGCTCACGCGATGCGGCTTTTGGGTCGCTTTGTTATTGGCCTTCGAGAAGTGTTAGCAGTGCCTTGGCGCGGTGGTGACATCAGGGTGTGTGGTGAAGTGGTGACAACTCTAGCACCCGTGTTAGTGGTGAAAGGCCTGCACTGTGGGTCGGGGCATAATGCCGATCTGGCTGTGAGATCACCATGGCGAGGTTGAGAGAACCGTGACCAAAGCCCCCTGGTGTGTGTACACTGTACGGCGAGCAGCCTTGCGTCGATTTAATAACGAGCCCTTGATAGAGTTGGTGATTAATGCGAGGGAGGATTAGGCCGTTTTGGCAGGCCTATCTCATCATTGTGCAATTGCACCCCCACCCCCTCCCCTCTCCGATGCGGGGGTGTCAGACCGTGGTGCAGCAGAGTGGCTCCTGTTTCGCCCAGGAAAACAAAACCAGCGCCATAAAAATTTAATCCCGTGCCGGTATTTGAACCCAAGACGCCGAGGGCTGGCGCGCTATTGATCGCTGGGCGGCGGGGCGAGGGGGCGAGGCGTGCAGTCCGGGCCGGGAGTGGCCGCATTCCGGAACGGCGATAGTGCGGGCAAAACACCGCCAAAAAGTCGGAAAAAAACAAAGTGAATTTGGGATCCGCAGGTGCGGGTAGTCGAACCCGCGCCCGCAGATTTACGCCGTCTCGTGCGGTTAATTGTCGTGAGCGGCCGCGCCCCCCCAGCGATAAATCTGACGCTGAGGCTGTAAGCTCCCTGAGGGAGGCGCCGCCGAGCGCGGAGCGCAGCGCGCCGCGGGGCAAACTTACTTGGTCGCGTCTCGCCGCCCCGCCGCACCCCGCCCCGCCCGCCCCCGCCCCGCCCCGCCCCGCCCCGCCCCGCCCCGCCCCGCCCCGCGCCGTGATTCCTTGAATTGCCCGGATTAATTTGAATTATGGCTGCTTTTGTCTGGAATGGGCGCGGCGTCCCTTTTAAAGCAAAGGACGTGTCGGCCGCTACACCGAGGGCTGGAGGGCTGGAGGGGGCGCTGACCCCCGCGGGGTCCGCTCGCCAACCCCCCTTCTCTCCCTTACTCGTGGGGCGTCCCATAGCACAGTGGGCTAGAAGACCGCTGGAGGTGGTCAAAACTCTGGACGTGTTTTGAGCTCAGCGTCTCTAAATGGTACTTGAACCGAGCGTGTGACCCCACCAATGGATTCCTCGTTCGGAGAGCAATCCATTGGTAGGGTCACACGTTTTGTTCGAGTCCTATTTAGTGACTCTGCAGCTCAAGAAGCTTCTAAAATTTTGGCCGCCTCCACCGGTTGTCAGGTCCACTGTGCGCTCTCGAGGAGGGTCTCGTCGTGCTGCAAGGGGGTCCCGGACCGTCTCGGCGCGTCCCGGACGGCCGGCCGGACGCTGCAGGACCACAGCGTCCGCACCGCACATACACTGTACGCGGGGCTAACCGCAGCCCCGCCACGCCCCGCCACGCCCCGCCACGCCACACCGTGGCGTTGCGTAAAACAATTTCTCTTTGTTGTGGACGTTACAATGCCAGTGTGCTGGACCCACGCCGCCCAGTCCCGGCGCCGCCCCCGGCGCCCTGGCCGCCGCCAACAGACCCTCCACCGAAACGGCGCT